CGAAGAAGGATAAATCAATATTTTACTTTTAGATGTCAAATATTCACCCTTTAATTATTAAAGATAAAATATACGTAATGATAAATTGAGCAAATAATGAAATACACGTAAATTGTGTCTGCAAGTCGATAGAGGTACTTATTTTTTTTTTTTTTAATAAAACGTTATTTGACGCATGAAAAGCGTGTAGGGCCACATAGATCGGCTCTCTCGTAAAAAGTACGATCAATTCATTATATGCGGCCGTAGATTAATAGCCGGTACTGTAACTAACTCGTTCATCGAATAAAGTCTGCCGGTTCTTCCGGCAGACCTAACCGTCAATTATCTCGCGTGGCGAGAACCCTTCGGGAAACGCGACGCGGCCGACTGGTTGCAGCCCCGCGGATGCATTTCCGCGTACCACCGAGCGAGGCGGGCGCGATGGTGGTCGGCCGACATCTGGCCGACGTGGCCGGGGCAGTTCGTGAAATTCGTCGTTACACGGTGCACAGATTACGCGCGGTTCAGCCGAGCCGCCGGAAACGGTTTACACATTGTACACGGAAGCAATTATCGCAAGCGCGCGCGCGCCAGTAATCGAGTCGGACGACGCGCCGACATGCTTTAATTGCCCGACAGCTTCGCCCATCCCCGCGACGGGTTAATTCGGGATTTTTCTAAGTGCCTGAATAGATCTGCAAATTGTATATTGTCCGAGGTAATGCGAGGTGCAACGTGATAATTAATAAAATTATGAAACATGTGGTTTCGTGCATTTTTGTTTCTAAACAGATTAGACACGTGGTATGCACATGAAATGACATTGACGAAGTATATCTCGCTCTTTCGCAAGTCACAAACTCATGTTTAATGCTAATTGTAAATCAATATTACGTATCTTTTTGTATCTCGACAATATGAGACTATCATTGTATCGCTTGAACAAGAAATGTCAATAGTATTCCGTGACTTGAAGAGATAAGAGGACATTTATTTTTTAATGGAATTTCTAAAATCAATTGCGCAATAAAAGAAACTAGTGCGATACTTTATATACTCTTGCTTGTTATATGCATAAAAAAGAAATATATTTAAAATTTTTGCAATAATAAAAAAATGTCAATAAAATAATAATATAATCAAATATTTTAATAAGATACGTGTGTATATTAAAGTCCTATCACAATTATAAACTTTTAAATTTTATGAAAATTACTACAATCTGCACACTAAGCCTCAGACGGTCGTATTCACAATACATCGTTATCTTCCGCTTGCCTATACGAATTACGAAAGCAATTGTTCCCGCATATTATTTTGTTCTAACGCTAAGGTCACTTTATGGACATCTCCAATCTCAGTACCGATCAACCGGAGCAAAGTACTTTTTCAATCTGTTGGAATCGATCGGCACTCGCCGTCGAGCAGATCCATCCATCTGTCTGTCTCGTCTACGCTGGCTCGGTCAGCGCGTTCTCTAGTACGCTTCGGTATCCCATGATTTCCACGTGATATCCACGCGTGTTACGTGCCAGATCCCACGCACGGTCTCGTCTCCGTCGAGGGCAATACACCGAGTGAACCTAACGAGATTTCAATAGCCCGATCCTCGCTGACGGTTACCGCAAATAGGCTCGATCCTGCGGTAACCGTCTAGCGAGCGATGAATGCTAAGCATAGAAATGCGGAACCACTCCGCGGCGAGAGGGATAATGTGCGGTAAATAGAAGAATGTTATGAACTCGCATGGGATACCCGCGCGCGTTGCTATACTTGTCGGTCCGGCAAGCGACGGCTGCGGCGCCGGTATATCTCCCTCGAGGGGGCACGAAAGCAGAACGTACCGTTTTAACGCCCGGTAAAAATAATTTTGACTAAGCGAAGAGGATAATATATTCTCCGCCTTAATAAAAGGCAGATATCATCTAATTATCGTCTCGGCGATGAGAATGGCTGTTACAAAATTCATTTACGTCAAAATGATTAATTTGAAACGTTTCGACGCGAGAGGCCGCAAATACGAATTTTAGATTGTTTCAGCATAGAAACGCACGTGTGCGAAGGTTTTCGAGCTACAGAACGAATCCGTGTAATATTTTTCACGTGGATCATTAATATAATTTATCGCGGATATCACAATAATGATCCGATAGTTCGTAAGGCAGGTAAATAATTAACATTTCATACAAAACATTTACTTGCAAAAATTTTACAGCAGGATTGTTAGCGATTCGTGTTGCAAATGCAACCGTATAAAACACTGATTTTTATTGCGTGCAATTTATGCGAGATTTATTTCTCAAAAGCATTAGCAATTTGCGATTAAAGTTTTCGCGCATCTCGCTGCGGCTTCGACGCGTCGAGCAAGTCGAGGGAAGAGCGAAAAGAAGGAGGAATCGCAGATAGCTATGTGTCATTAATCAAGGCCCTCGAAGTGCACTAAATCACCTACGAGATATAAATTACCGCGGGCAATCTGGTATCAATAAGGCGTAATTCGGGATAATAGGGTGTGCGAGAGAGGGCGGACGCGCGGGAGGATATATAACTCCTGATTTCCGAGGGTGCTGTAGATTTCGATTAACCCGAGTCCGTCCGCTTGTCCGATCCGAGTCGCGACATTTCTCTTCGTTACTCTCCTCTCGTCTCGAGCCTTCGATCCTTCGCCTTCGTTCCTTCGCCTTCGTATAAATGATTTAACGGACAGACGTTGCAGGAGCCCAGCTGTTTCTCCGTCGCGAATGCGAGAGCGAGTATCACGGCGTAAAAAAACATCGAGATAACGAAAGCCCAGATGTCTAGTCAATCGCTCTCAGGCATTTTAGCGAAGACAAAAATGTGAAATGCAACAATGGATTTACTGTATGTATTTAAGAATGCTGATTATTTATCAGAACAAGAATCTTGCACCATTTCGTTAAGTTATAATAATCTTTAATCAAAGTCAAAGCATCATTAATCTTTCTTCTTGTTAAGTCGTATGACAGGTAGAGAGCGTTTCGGTGTTGCTAAAACATTAATCCGGATTTTAATCCGAAGGAAAAATAATTGTTATCGTTACCAGCGAGTAAATAAATCCTATTGTAGACTACTTGTGTCTGTCTACCGGTACACGAGATAAAGTACAATTTGATTTAAATAGCACTGATCGTTACGATACAATATCGTTAAACAATGATTGACTTAATATTCGAGTCTTTCCAATCACAATAATCGCAGTTTGATGATAATTCAAAGGCCACACAGGACTCAACTTGATACGCATCCGTGTGAAGAAAGGAAACAAGCGCGAGGCGCGTAACATCCAAATCAAAGATCCGTCCGGAACGCTCCCCTTGTATCGACAAATCGCGAGATTCGTCGGCGCGATACGACAAGCGGCGCGGCGCAGCGCGGCTAATTAGTTATCCTCGATACATCTGGCCGATGGATAATTAGCCGCTACGGTTTATACGCGCGATAACTCGCCGCTCGCGCGCGCGCGCGCGAGCGAGCGCGCACGTTCTCGACGACCCGCTGGGATTTGTTTCCGCCCGTGAAAACAATTTGTTTCTCATTCCACATCGGAACCGAACCCCGTCATCATCGGCGCCAGAATGGGATAAACCCTTCCCTCTCGCGCCCGCTTCTCCCTTTCGACGTCTGTCCTCGTTCCTCCCGCTTCATTTCCACGGCCCTATTACATCGTTATTAGGCTCGTAACAGACGTGTAAGCGTTCCGGGGAACACCCCACTGGGTTATTAATGGTGACTCTTTGTTTTTTCGTACTCTCCACGCCCGATGGCCACGGCGTACTCTTTTTCTCTTCTTCTCTCTTTCTCTTTCCCTCCCTCCGTCTCTCTGTCTTCCGTTCTGCTCACTACCTTCTTCTATCATTCGTAACGGCCTCCTTCTTCCTCTCATTAACCCGGGATTTCGTCGTTTCTTTCCCCCTTTACCTTCCCGCGCTCGTTCCTCCCTCTTCCATGCACATCTTGAATAAATTAATGTAAGCGCGAGCATTAAAGTAGGTGTCGGGCATTCTGATGCGAATGAGCTCTGTCTCGCGCGGTGACAAATTGGTGGCACAGGTAAGAGGATACCTATCGCGTCCCATGATACACATGAAGAAAGAAAGAGAGAGAGAGAGAGAGAGAGAACAATCGTCGAAAGGGCGTGCGCTCCTCCATATGGAGAGAAAAAAGACTTCGCGAGAAGTCACCGCGACGGAAGAGATTTCGACGGTCGCTCTATTCTCGCAGTGTAGTTTCAGCGCGCGTGCTACCGTTCGTGTCGCCTGTCATGAAATCTCTCATGAAATCTCATCGACAAGATCTCAGATCTCTGGCCTCAATCGCGGGCAAAACGCTTATTCGCTTTTATGACTGCCGTTGCGTTTCTTATTTGACGTTCTAGAATCATATACTGTTTTTTTACGCGTATAACAGATGATTTAAAAGAAAGGAAATCACTAAATCGATTAACTCAATTTGTTAGTAAAATTTGGATTTTTTAAGTCAGAATAAATATGTGCGCAATCGACGAATTACGAGAAGATGACAAGCAAATAGAATCCAACGAACAAAATCGATTTTTTAAGTATAAAGTCGATTACTTTACGGCAGTTTTTATCTAACTTCAAAGAATTCTACATTTTATGTATATGTTATATGAAGAAAAGAAGTAGGTATTTTTATATATTATAAAATATATTTTTTTTTCAATGCGAGTTCTTATTATGAGACTAAATTTTTTAATTTCCTGTTATCGTTTGTCTATTATTTTGATCGTAGATTATCATCGCGATTTGCACAACTTAATACTCGATTATTAAAGTATCCGTTTATTATCGCACTAGCGATCACATAATCATTAAAGATATACCTAACAATTGCCATAACGATAGTCTCCGTGATTATCGAATATGTCACTAACGGATAAATATACACTCATTAAATCATCCCCCCAATCATCACGCAACTACGAGAGCATTTCTGTGCACTTTCTCAAGCGGAGAGAACGCCGTGGAGCGACTCACCTTCGCAAGTGAACTGTCCGTAATGTTTGCCGCTGCTCTTGTCTCCGCAGACGACGCACTCGATGTTCGGCGATTTATCCGTTTGCGAGCTGCCGGACTGCGAGCTGTTGGCCTGGCTGCCGGGGGTGGTGCTGGGCGGCAGGGGGTCCCTTGAGGTCAGAACCGAGCCGGCGGGCACCAGACAGGTGATGTCCTCCGGCGTGGCCGAGGGCGTCAGATGCGCGGGCGGCATCGGCGGCGGCGGGCCCACCTGAAGGGGTCCGCCGCCGCCACCGCCGCCGCCGCCGGCTGCGCCCAGGGCGGCCCCTGGGTCCCGCGAGGCCCAGGAGGGCGGCGGCGCGACCAACGCCATTGAGGCGGTGGTGCCGCGCGCCGGGAACCCCAGCTCCAACGTGGTGGTGAACTCGGGGTGGTGGTGTCCGGCTGGCACCCGACCAGGGAACAACGTCGCCGTCGCGGCCGGGTAAACCACCCCGGCAGTCGCCAGGGCGTCCGCGCCTACCGTCCCGCCTCGAACCACCCTGCCGGTTTCCTATCCGTAGGACGCGATTCGACCGACAACGACGACAGGCTCGACTGTGGGCTCTCGGTCAGCTCGGCCCGTCCAGATGATTCTTCAAATTGGATTAGTCTGTATCCTTGAAAGATGCGAAATCCTGGCACGCAGTCAATGTCCTCGGTAATTGGCGCGTAATTGATCACTCTGACGATGGTATATCGGTGATTCGCTGCTAGAAATCACGTTTCTTCACTCACTTCTTCACTGTCCTGAACTTTCCGATGAGTAACGCATAATCGCGAAATAAACTGTACAAGTGATGTCCGACACTTATCATACTTGCAGAGAATCACCGACGCGCGCGTTCTCCAATTGTCGTTCGAGTATGATTATACATATAGACACTTGTCCAGGATATCAAAGTCAAAGCTTTATTTCTCAACACGCGGTTATGTTTCTTCCAATTTTATTTTTGCTCCGGTTTTGTATTATTGCTCCGGTTCTCCAAATCTTCGACTGAATAGCGCACCTAAAATCTACGGAGAATCGAATTTTGATCGATCCTTCGAACCTTTCGAAAATATCCGCACTTAAATAAAAGTCTCACGGCTGCAATCAGCTTTGCTATTGCTAGTAGATTGCTCGCGCTGCAATAACCACGGTGTCACCCCGCGAAAACTCCCGGTGAACGTGCATGAATAGCGATCGCGAACGATACAACGATGTCAAACAGTAACAACCTTCACATTCGGTCATGCACTCGGAGGCACTTCACTTTTTCCACGTGTACGTCGCGATTTTCCGACGAGAAAGGTCTCGCGTTTTAAGACACCAACACTCGCACCGACACCGACCGAACTATTATCTTGGCGACGATCGTCAACCCTTCGATTATCAGGGAGATGACATACGACCCACCGGCAATAAAAGGGGAAAAGGTCGTGTCCTTTGGTACCGCCTGACGTTTCGCCGCTTTGGCGCGATTTGGAGTATATCTCTTCGGAGCTCTCTCTCTCTCATCCGTAGCCGCGAGCGTGCCTACGTATGTTCCCGCGTGCGTACGTACGTGCGTGCGCGTACGTAGTCGATATATCGTACAGCCGTGAGCGACACTTGCGTTTGCGCGAAACTCGATGTGTACGTTTGCTCGCTCGCTCGCTCGCGTGCGCGTGTACTTCTTCGGATGCGTGTTGCGCGATGGTGTGCGTAATGGTGTCGTCCCTCCGTCGCGCGCTCGCAGCGCCGAGCATCAGCAACAGCAGCAACAGCAGCAGCAGCAGCAGCGACGGCGACGGCGACGGCGGCGGCGGCGGCGGTGGTGACGGCGGTGGTGGCGGCGGTGGCGGCGGCGGCGACGGCGGCAGCAGCAGCAGCAGTAGAACGGCGGGCCGTAGTAGTAGTAGGAGGAGGAGGAGAAGAAGAGAGGTGATACTCGACTACCGCCTCGATACGACTATTCTTGGGGCCGACCAGAGACCGACTGCCGACTAAGGCGACCCCTGACACCGACCTGGACCCCCCACTATCGCGAGCCCGCGAGGGTTTCTCGCGGGTACCACCGGTTGCCATGACTACTGGAAGGTGGGGTCGAGTCCCGGGCGCGCCCCGGTCGTCCTCTCATTGGCTACGGGTTTGCCCTACCCCGGACAGCCAGCACGCGTTGCCCGACCAAGTAGTTCCGTACCCACTTTGACTCCTCGATCTAGTCGCCGTTTCCCTCTTTCTCTCCTGCGATCGTTGATGAGTGGGTCTCCTTCCTTCACTCGAGATTGTCTCGCTCGCCGCACCGACCGCTTGCTCACTCGCTCTCACTCTTCATCTATCTATCCGTCTGCCGTCAGTCTATTCGTCCTGCTCTTCCTCTCTTTCATCTTCCCTTCTCTTCTCCCCTTTTACCCTTTCTCTATCTCTCTTTTTCTCCCCATTCGCGAACTCCACGAACAAGTGCTCCGCAGTTCTCCTTATCGCGTTCCCTATCCCCCTCCTTCTCTCTCGCGTTCCTTCTCCCATGTTCCACCACTCTACTCGTAATCTCTTCTCGCGGGCTCAAGCTCTCCGGATTCTTCAACCTGCTGATCATATTATTACGCTTTTTATCAAACCGACCGCGACCGCTACCATACAGTCGTCATCACCGCCTCTAAGCGCCCTGTCGAGCGACTCTGCCTTCTCGGGAGGGGGCCGTGTTCGATCCACTGGACTCAATCTCGGGCTCGTTTTAATCCCTCGATTCCTATCGCTTATTTCTTTCCGCTTCAACTTAATCCGTCTACGATTATTTCCGCTGACCGTTGCTCCCATTCGTCCTGAATTGGCCACGATGAATAACACTCTTCAAGTTCTTTCCAAGGACTTTTCCGTTTTTAGCCACTTAATATTACTCTTATCTGCATTTTTATGTTTTACAAAAGAAAAAGTTTGTCATTGTTGTAAAACTACTTTGTAAAGATTTGTTTGGAAACATATTATTAGTTGGCTGGAGGATAACACGGGTATAGATGAGCGATTAATATTTCATCCGGCCGTATCTTCGGCCGTCTCTTCTTTTCTTCTTCCGGAAGAAGAGCCCAGGTGGAAGGAACGCGGCCGTCCACCCCGTCGGTGTCAGGGGCGGCCGAGGGAAGAGAGGTCAGAGCGAGAGGGCGGCAGCCAATGAGGACGTGGAGTCAAGTGGGGCGCGAAAAATGGGCCGGCCCGCCTTCCATCCACCCCCGGGAGCTAAGGGTGAGGGTAAGGGTGCGCGGAGTAGGGCTAGAGAGGGCTCCGAAGGCGGCCGGGGCATCGAGGTAGGGTCAGTCGGGTCGCAGCCCTGCACCCCTACAGCCTCGCCTGTCAAGCTCTTTGCTCTTTCCTCGCCTCTCTCCATCTCTTACTCCGCTCTATCTCGTTTTCCCTTACGCTTCGTCGTCTTTTCCTTGCGACGTGTGGTCCCTGCGTTTTTCCGAGCTGCCGGGATCCGATGTTTTTCACGTTCGATCGTATCTTTTCTCGTTTTTTTATCTCCATGCGAGGTATTGATTTAATGGTACCACACACACAGTCCGATGAACATTCAATCCGCGATTGGACTGAATCTTTGCTACTTATATTATGTTAATCTCGTTTTTTTATTCGAATTGCCGTTATTGATTCACACGCAGCATTTTCATATCATTGACTCGATATTTTCCTCCTCCTATTTTTTTAAATATAAAAATAAACGAGAAGAAAATGCTTGATCAATATTTAATTACACTTTTCCTGAGAAGTATAAATTTACATCTTAAACGCAGTAAGCGTAAAAATGTGCTAAGAAGTTAAAAAAGAATAAATCTCACGTTACGTCATCAATCAGTTTATCCTATATTCCGTTACCGATAAACTCCATCCGCGCAACATTCTTATCGCGCAATTGCTCGTTGGCGTTTCTCCGCGCCGTAATCGATGTCGAGCCAAAGCAGGCGCGTAAGACGATCTTCTTCGAGCAAGCGACGAAATCGTAGATATCCTCGACGCGTGATTCGAGTGCGAGGAATTCGGCCTCTCGTTACAGGCGGCGGGAAGCAGCTATATTCTTTTTTCGACGGGTTGCGTGCGTCGCGCGTGCACGCAAATAGCGGACGGCGAATAGCGGCTGATCGGACGAGCGAAAAACGAGAAAACGAGGGTACGGGAGGCTCGGAAGACGATCGGAGCGAAGCGAGCCGTTGGCACTCGCGCGCTCTTGAACCGAACTCAATAAACGTGACCTCTGATCGACCGACGCTCGACTCTCCGGCCGTTACAAGCGCCGTCGTGGATGTCGTCGAGGGTCGGATTTAGGCTGCACCCGACGCGATCGCATCGAATTTCGCGCGACCTGTGTTCCACCTGACGACGTCAGCGCGACGTTTATCGCTTCTATCGACGTCTTGGGAATTTGTTTCGACGATAGGGCAACGTTCATGTATTAAAGAAATATATGAGATTTAGATTTCTTATATATTATATTAATCCATCTGTATTCTATTTAAGATAAAATATTTATTGAAAGAAAAATTATATATATTTTCTTAAATAATTTGGTAAATCAAACTGTATTTAGTTATAATGTATATTACATGTTATCCTACTGTTTAAAAAATTGTTACAAATGTTTGAAAAATTTCATTGTGAAAGAAAGTTTCACGTTTTAATTTGTTTTGACAAATTTTCAAGTTTTGATCGCTTTATGAACATTTAAAAAACATTAAAGATCTAAAAAATATCACGAGAAATGAGAAATAAAATTCAATAACTAAAAATAGAATTATTCATTTAAGAACAACTATCATGAATTTTTTTTTCATTTTTGAGATCTTTAATTAATGCTTTAAATTATTATAGCATGTTATTACAGCAAGGCGAATAAAAATACGGTACTAAAATAAAATAAATTAGATAAATTGCAATATATCAAGAAAGAGAATTTGGAATTTAAATTCTAGATTAAAACATATAACTGCTAAAAAGTCGAATTTCTATCAAATAATAATTTAATTTTCTACATTTTCGTGACCACGAGCGACTCACCCGTATCATATGAACGCGTCTTTATAATATTTCCAGATCCGATAACGACGCGGGGAGCATCTGAAAATCTCAAATCACCCGAGGCATTAACCACCACCGCCGGTGGCGGGGGCGTCCCGTGGCGAACCCAAGAACGACCTGCGGTGTAACCGCAGCTCCCGCAACCGCCGTCGGAGGGGTGAGCGAGTGTGCGTAATAGTTGTAGGGGTACGTGTGTGCGGCGGCCGTCGCGGGTAGGCATGTTAGTAGGGTGGAAGTCCTAGCGGTAGATTGCAGGCAGGAGGAGACGGGAGGAAAGGCAGGGGTGGGCGCGCCGCGTACAAGTGCATATCGGTGAAGGGGTGCCCGAACAATGC